CCTGGGAATTATATACCACCTGGGAATTATATGTCACTACCTGGGAATTATATGTCACCACCTGAATTTTATGTCACCACCTGGGAATTATGTGTCACCACCTGGGAATTATATGTCACTACCTGGGAATTATATGTCACAACCTAGGAATTATATGCCCACCTGGGAATTATATGTCACCACCTGGGAATTATATGTCACCACCTGGGAATTATATGTCACCACCTGGGAATTATATGTCACCACCTGGGAATTATATGTCACCACCTGGGAATTATATTTCACCACCTGGGAATTATATGTCACCACCTGGGAATTATATGTCACCACCTGGGAATTATATGTCACTACCTGGGAATTATATGTCACCACCTGGGAATTATATGTCACCACCTGGGAATTATTGAATTATTCCAGCTACACACTACAGTACACTGTTTGTATTTTATATTTGTTAATACATATTCTGACAGACTGTGAAAGGTCATGTTGGCAGCGTCGTCACGTGCTCACGACAGCATGCTTCTCTTTCAGCAGCCAGATAATATTGTAAAGCAGAGAAAAACATTTATCAGCTATACGCTTGTGAGGACTTGAACCTAAAGCCTAAAAATATGTCCCGGTGATGCCTGGGTCAAAGTCTGCCTCGGGTGGAATTAATATTATTTAATTTAGGTTATTTCTGTGGTCACTTCTCTCTGAATCTGCCCAGTCTTTGTCCCGTTGCCTCGTGAAGGTCTTGCTCAAACTTGTTATCCAAATTGTTGTTGTTTTTTTAATACAAAAGAAAAGATAAGGAAAGGACATCACCCCGGCTTAGTGTGTTGTGTGTGTTAGTACAGGAAGTAGCGAATATCTCCTTCCTGTGTGTTATCAAGGTGAGCTGTACGCCGGGTGAAGGTGGAGGAAGAGGAGGAGGAGGAGGAGGAGGAGGAGGGAGGTACCAGGTCAACAGTGAGGGAGGGAGGAGGAGGAGGAGGTGGAGGAAGAGGGAGGGAGGTATTAGAACAACACTGAGGAGCTTTCTATACCTGGCTGTCACACCTTGAAACCAACAATCACCACCTCACCGCTCTGATAACCTGTGATTCATCACCTCGTTATAATAATGATAACACCAGCACGAGCGATCACCAGCGCCTGACGAACCTTCACCCTTACCACCAATACGACGCCAGGAGGTGATCAGCCAATCTGATTCCCCCTTTCGACCAAAAACTCAATGTAATTTCGCCAGACGATCGTATGCCGCTCTTCAATGCATGTAGTGACTGTCTTCAGAGCACTCTCAGCGCCTAAGGACTTGGGGTCAAGAGAGAGGCAATTTAAGGAGGTGGTTTGAGGTCGTTGTGTTCCCCGGCAGCAGCTGTAGCGGCCCCCTGGGTACTGTGTCATTATGTGACTGGCTCACCCCTCTCGCCTTTACGACTTACTCCTATTGGTGGTTCTGTAAGATGTTGGAGGAGGTTCTGTAATGCTACGGTCACACTAGATTTTTCCGTGTAATAAATCCACGACAGCATGTCATCCGCAGGCAACAAGTCTACGGTACGATCCGCACACTGGTCACACTGGCGAAGGGAACCGTTGGCCATGCGGCCCAGTTCGTGCGGCTAGTTTGAGCTCATTTGGCGAGCAGGATGAATTCACTGTATGTTTCAATGGCGGTAATAACAGCTTGAGTGAGATGTGTGGTCCTGTTAAAGAAGTCCAAGACGAAAAAGGGACGATTGTAGCGTCCAGGCGATGTTTGTTTACAGAAGTGACGCAAGTAGAGTCAAATGAAATTCTCGTACTATGACGTTTTTGCTCGGGTTTTGTTATTGAAATGCACTTGTTATATTTTTTTTATATTTGAACATTAATAAGAAAAATATATGAACGGTGTAAAGTTTATCCATACAATACACTCTCTATACTATAACAAACGTCAACCCACCGTTCCGTTGATTTTCAGACGCTCCGTGTCGTCCCACTTTCGACAATCGAAGGTTGTCGCGGTAGAGACAACTTGAGGAGTTCGTTGAACAATCAACGCTACGGTGGATTTATTCTGGGTAGAAATTCTAGTGCGACTGCAGCTTAATATGCATGCGTAATATAGTCAATATATCGTCTGTACGGGATTAATATTGTACATGTGGGAGGGGAGTATGTATGTATGTATGTATGTATGTATGTATGTATCATCTCACACTTTAATAAGTGCAAAAATATTTGTGATATTTTAATTTTTTGACACACACACACACACACACACACACACACACACACACACACACACGACAAATATATAAAACTGTATCCTGTGCTCGGCAGTGATGTAAGATAGTGAAGAGAGAGATTCGTGTGTGTGTGGGAGGGAAGATTATCTAACACATAAACTGTTTCTTAATAACTCAGACCTTGTATAGATGACGTCAGTTCAGTGTTGTAATTTAATGTCCTTAAACTATAGTAAACTATAGTAATGTCCCGTGTGTATGTATCTGTGTCGTGTAAAGGGGGATATTCTTATCTATTTTTTTTCATTGTTTCCTCTTTATTCTTTATTGTCTCTTATTCTTCTTCTCTCTTCTCTTTATTCGGATATTCTTACGTCTTCTCTTCTTCTTTGGACACTCATTTATACACTATCGTCTCTTTCTCCTCCTCTCTTCCCTTTATCCGAACGCCATGTGGATAAAAGAATCAGGAGCCAGGGAGCTATTTTGTTGTTGTGTGTGTGGTGGAAGCTGGTTTGTTTACACTGCTGGGAGCTTCAGGAGGCGTGTGTTGGGGTGGGTGGCAGGCTAGACTGACCTAAGGCTTTGTGCCGACACTCTAACTAAGGCTGCTCCCCTCCTCCCATCCCTCCCATATGCTTTTCTCTCTCTTCCTCAGGCAAATGAAAAAGTGAATGAAATGAGAGACGCCCCCCACCGTGCTCCCCCTACTCTTACATTATCACACGATGGTTTATAAGGAAAAAGGAGAATGTGTACCTCTTTTTCCTCTTGTACCTCACCCCCCCTCCCTCCCAAGCTGTGGAGATTTAGATAACAATGCTCTTCCTCGGATACTCTACCATACGTGAAAGACTCCTCCAAAGGTGCTTTTTTAATAGCTGTGGACGCCCAGTTGGTGAGGTGAGGAAGACGGAGAGAGAGGAGAAAGGGAAGGCTTCAATATCAGGTGGAGGTCGTCCGTCATTTACATGCGGCGGCTTGTTGCCGTTTTGGAGGTGAATGTAAAATGTGCATTAGTGTCGGGCCGAGCGGGGAAGGAGGGAGGAGGAGAAGAAGAAGAATGAGGAGGAGGAAGGAGGGAGTAAGGAGAAGGAAGGGGAGTAGAGAAGAAGGAGGAGGGGGGAGGAGAATAAGAATGAGGAGGAGGAGAAGAAGAAGAATGGGGAGGCGGGGGAGAGGGGAGTAGGAGAAAGAGGGAAGGAGGAGGGAGGATTTGGTGGATGCGGGCGGATGTCAGGCTAACTGGGGTTGGCTTGCTGGCTGACTGACTGTCTATCTGACTGCCTTTTCTGGTGTGTGTGTGTCGTTCTCTTAATTTGACTCTTGTTGACAGCCGACGTCGTATTAGCCCTCTCTCTCTCTCTCTCTCTCCTCTCTCTCTCTCTCTCTCTCTCTCTCTCTCTCATTTTATCTGTCTGCCTGACCACCTGCCATATTGCCTGTGTGCCCCTCGTCTGTGTGTGACCAGCTGGACGTGTGTTGGGGAGTGTTCTCGCTGGTTGGGTGGCGGCGAGGGGTGGGAGGGGGGGTGGGGAAGGCGGCTACTGTGTAATTTAATTAGTGAATACTTGATCACCCTTTTTAAGTGGTATCACAGAGACAAGTGGAGGCAAACAAACGGAGAGACAGTTAGACAGATTACAGACAGACAGGTAAGAGGTCAGTGTGTGTGTATGTGTGTGTGTGTGTGTGTGTGTGTGTGTGTGTGTGTGTGTGTGTGTGTGTGTGTGTGTGTGTGTGTGTTTGATGGGCAATTTGAGTACCCGGATAATGATAGGGTTCTTTGACCTGTCTCTTACCTGCCCTTGGAGACCATCGCCACCCTAAGAGACCACCACCATCACCTTGGGAGACCACCACCGCCACCACCTAGGAGCCACCACCACCACCACCACCACTGCCCTAGGGAGACCCACCGCCACCACCACCACCCTAGGAAACCACCACTACCCTAGCAGACCACTACCACCCTGGGCCATTACTGCCCTCGGGGCCACTACTACCCTCAGAGACCACCACCACAGTAGGGGCCACCACTACCTAGGGATCACCACTACTCTAGGGAGACCACCACCACCACCTTGGAGACTACCACCACACCGACCCTAGGAGACGTTATTAGTCCAATGTTACGATCACTTTCCATAAGTACTGTCCATGTGTACCATTTATTTATGTTTGGGTACCATTCTGTGTGTGTGTGTGTGTGTGTGTCCATACTACGGTGTGTGTCTGTGTGTACATGCGTGATGGAGAGAGAGGAGGATGGTGTACCGTGAGATATTCATGCTTTGTCGTCATGTCGACTGTGGCGTCACACGTAGAAGGGCTCTGTCACAGGGGGCTCTGTCACACAGGGGGAGGCTCTGTCACACGGGGCTCTGTCACACAGGCTCTGTCACACGGGAGGCTCTGTCACACGGGGAGGCTCATCACACAGGGGGAGGCTCTGTCAGGGGAGGCTCTGTCACAGGGAGGCTCTGTCACAGGGTAGGCTCTGACACACGGGGCTCTGTCACTGGGGTAGGCTCTGCACAGGCTCTGACACACGGGGCTCTGTCCAGGGTGGGCTCTGGCACACGGGGGCTCTGTCACAGTGGGAAGGCTGTGTCACACGGGGGGGCTCTGCACACAGGGGAGGCTCTGTCACAGGTGGGAGGCTCTTCACACGGGGAGGCTCTGTCACACAGGGGAGGCTCTGTCACACGGGGGAGGCTCTGTCACACAGGGGTAGGCTCTGTCACGGGGAGGCTCTGTCACACAGGGAGGCTGTCACACAGGGGTAGGCTCTGTCACACGGGGGAGGCTCTTCTGCAGGGGCTCTGTCACAGGGGGAGGCTCTGTCACACGGGGTGGGCTCTGACACAGGGAGGCTCTGTCACACAGGGGAGGCTCTGACACGGGAGGCTCTGTCACACGGGGTGGGCTCTGACACACGGGGAGGCTCTGTCACACGGTGGAAGGCTGTGTCACACGTGGCTCTGTCACAGGGGAGGCTCTGTCACACAGGGAGGCTCTGTCACACGGTGGAGGCTCTGTCACACAGTGGGGAAGGCTCTGTCACACGTAGAAGGCTCTGTCACACGTAGAAGGGCTCTGTCACACGGGGGAGCTCTCTGTCACAGGGGAGGCTCCTGTCACAGGGAGGCTCTGTCACACAGGGTGGGCTCTGTCAGGAGGCTCTGTCACACGGGGAGGCTCTGTCACAGGGGTAGGCTCTGACACACAGGCTCTCACAGGTGGGCTCTGTCACACAGAGCTCCCAGGTGAGGCTCTGTCTACACGGGGTGGGCTCTGACACACGGAGGCTCTGTCACACGTGGAAGGCTGTGTCACACGTAGAGGCTCTGTCACAGGGAGGCTCTGTCACAGGGAGCTCTGTCACACGGGAGGCTCTGTCACAGTGGGGAGGCTCTGTCACACGTAGAAGGGCTCTGTCACATGAAGGGCTCTGTCACACAGGGGGGCTCTGTCACACGGGAGGCTCTGTCACAGGGGTAGGCTCTGTCACACAGGGGTGGGCTCTGTCACAGGGGAGGCTCTGTCACACGGGGGGGCTCTGTGTCACACGGGGAGGCTCTGTCACAGGGGGGCTCTGTCACACAGGGTGGGCTCTGACACACGGGGAGGCTCTGTCACAGGGGTGGGCTCTCACACGGGGGGCTCTGGTAGGGGAGGGCTCATCACAGGGGTGGCTCTGACACACGGGAGGCTCTGTCACACAGTGGAAGGCTCTGTCACACGTGAAGGGCTCTGTCCTGGGGGGGCTCTGTCACAGGGGTGGCTCTGTCACACAGGGGAGGCTCCTGTCACACAGGAGGCTCTGTAACACAGGGGAGCTGTGTCACGGGAGGCTCCTGTCACACAGGGGCTCTGTCACACGGGAGGCTCTGACACAGGGGGCTCTGTCACACAGGGGCTCTGTCACACAGGAGGCTCTGTCACACAGGGGCTCTGTCACAGGGGCTCTGCACAGGGGAGGGCTCTGTCACACGGTGGGGAGGCTGTGTCACACGTAGAGGGGGCTCTGTCATCACGGAGGGCTCTGTCACAGGAGGCTCTGTCACGGAGGGGCTCTTGTCACACTGGGAGGCTCTGTAACCTGGGAGGCTCTGTCACACTGGGGAGGCTCTGTAACACTGGGAGGCTCTGTCACACTGGGGGCTCTGTCACACTGGGGAGGCTGTGTCACTGAGGAGGCTCTGTAACACAGGGGGGCCTCTGTAACACGGGGAGCTCTGTAACACAGGGGAGGCTCTGTAATGCTGGGAGGCTCTGTCACACTGGGGAAGGCTGTGTCACAGGAAGAAGGCTGTGTCTCACACGGGAGGAGGCTCTGTCACACGGTGGGAGGCTGTGTAACGGTGGGAAGGCTGTGTCACAGGAGGCTCTGTCACACAGGGGAGGCTCTGTCACACGGGGGAGGCTGTGTCCAGGGAGGAGGCTCTGTCACACTGGCAGGCTGTGTCACAGGGAAGGCTGTGTCACACAGGGGCTCTGTCAGGGAAGGCTCTGTAACACGGGTGGAAGCTGTGTCACGTGGAGGCTGTGGCACGGGGGCTGTGTCACACTGGGGTTGTGTCGCATTGGGGGAGGCTGTGCCACACAGGAGGCTGTATCACGGGGAGGTTGTGTCACACAGGGGGCTGTGCCACACAGAGCTGTATCACACAGGAGGTTGTGTCACAGGGTAGGCTGTGACACACGGGGAGTGGGGCCGAGTTGGAATAGACCCACCTTCAGGAAGTGCCGTCATCCCTCCACCCTCTAAAGCAATCCCTCACCTTAGAAGCAACCTCCTCCAGCATCCAAGTAACCCTCACCACTGTTCAGATTAATCCCCACCTTCTAAGCAATCCCTCCTTCCCTCTGATGCCAACATGAACTCTACCTCAGTTTTTTTTTTAATCATAGAATACATAACTCATAAGAGCATTACCTGACACACACACACACACACACACACACACATCTTATCTGAACGATACATTGTGGTTTTCGTAATAAGGATACCATGAGGGTTTGAGGTAATTTTCTCGCAGTAATAGAAACCACATCAACACGGAACAGATTCCCAGAAAATTCATCATGGTAGTAATTTTCTCCCTAACTGTAGTAATGAGAAAACACGTTTGATTGGCCCTCACGAGGAAGAACACGATGATGTGCTGTTGGTCAGGACGGTGCAGGGTGGTGCTGAGGCGGTAATTTTGGGGAGTAGAGGTGGTGTGGGGAGGGTGGTGTGGGGGAGGAGGGTGGTGTGGGGAGGAGGGGGAGTGGTGTGGGGAGGGAGGGGGTGGTGGGGAGGGGTAGTGTGGGGGAGGAGTGTGTGTGGGGAGGAGGGTGGTGTGGGAGGAGGAGGTGGTGTGGGGATGAGGGTGGGTGTGGGGGAGGGGGTGGTGTGGGGGGAGGAGGTGTGTGGGGAGGAGGGGTGTGGTGTGGGGAGGGTGTGGGGAGGAGAGGGTGGTGTGGGAGGGGGTGGTGTGGGGAGGGGGGTGGTGTGGGGAGGAGGGGTGGTGTGGGGAGGGGGTGGTGTGGGGAGGGTGGTCTGGGGAGGGGGGTGGTGTGGGGAGGGAGGGTGGTGTGGGGAGGGAGGGGGTGGTGTGGGGGAGGGGGGGTGGTGTGGGGAGGAGGGGTGGTGTGGGGGAGGGGGTGGTGTGGGAAGGGGTGGTGTCGGCAGGTGTGGGGAGGTGTTGTAGGAGGTGTGTGGGAAGAGGTGGTGTGCACGCAGGTTTGGGGTGGTGTTGGCAGGTGTGCAGAGGGGGTGGTGTGGGAAGGTGTGGGGAGGTGGTGGTGTGGGGAGGGGGTGGTGTGGGCAGGGGTTGTGTGGGCAGATGTGGGGAGTGGGTGGTATGGGCAGATGTGAGGAGGGGGCGGTGTGGTCAGGTATGAGGAGAGTGGTGTTGGATGGTGTGGGGGCGGTGTGGTCAGGTGTGGGGGGGAGGTGGTTTTGGCAGGTGTGGGAGGGGGTGGTGTGGGTAGGTGAGGTGTAGGCTCAAGTGTTCTCGTGGACTAGCGGGATTTTCTCTCAAAGCGTCAGGTTGCATGTCCTTCCTCCTCCTCCTTCTCTCTACCACACAGCAGTCCTCACCCTCTCTACCACACAGCAGTCCTCCCCACCTCTCTCTACCACACAGCAGTCTCCCTCACTCCTCTCTCTACCACAGCAGTCCTCCCTCACCTCTCTCTACCACACAGCAGTCCTCCCTCCTCCCTCTCTCTACCACACAGCAGTCCTCCCTCACCTCTCTCCTACCACACAGCAGTCCTCCCTCACCCTCTCTCTCCACACGCTGTCCTCCTCCTCCCTCTCTCCCCACACAGCAGTCCTCCCTCCTCCCTCTCTCTACCACACAGCAGTCCCTCCTCCTCCCTTTCTCTACCACACAGCAGTCCTCCCTCCTCCCTCTCCCCACACACAGCAGTCCTCCCTCACTCTCTCTCTACCACACAGTCCTCCTCACTCCCTCTCTCTACCACACAGCAGTCCTCCCTCCACCCTCTCTCTACCACACAGCAGTCCTCCCTCACTCCCTCTCCCTACCACACAAAGCCTTCCTCCTCCTCCTCCCCTCCCCCTCCTCTTTCCCTCTCATCTCTCTCTTCATCTCTCTCTCTATCCTCTATCCTTCCCTCTCCTTCACTCCCCCCTCCCCTCCCTCTCCCGTCCTATACTAACCACATCTACTGTACTACTCACGGAGACACAACGCCTCTGCCGATACACAACCACCTACCCACCACCTCACCAAACAACCACACTACCCACCACTCATCAAACAACCACACTACCCACCCTCACTTATCCCTTACCTTCATAGGGTAATAACACGACCCTTACCTTCACTTGGTGTGTAATAGCCCTTACCTTCATGGTGTCTTGACCCTTACCTTGGGGGTAATAACACGACCTGTACCTTCCTTGGGGTAATACTTGACCTTACCTTCACTTGGGGTATGCTTGCAACCCTTACCTTCACTTGGGGTAATAACACGACCCTTACCTTCACTTGGGGTAATAACAGCCCTTACCTTGGGGTATGCTTGACCCTTACCTTCACTTGGGGTAATAACTTGACCCTTACCTTCATTGGGGTAATAACCTGTAACTTTACCTTCATGGGAGTATGTGACCCTTACCTTGGAATGCTGACCCTTACCTTCATTGGGGAATATCTTGACCCTTACCTTGGGGTAATAACTGATCCTTACCTTCACTTGGGGTAATAACGACCCTTACGCTTCACCAGGGGTATATACGACCCTTACCGGAGTATGTGACCCCTTACAGCACTTGGGGTAATAACACGACCCTTACCTTGGGGTAATAACACATCCCTTACCTTGGGGTAATAACTGACCCTTACCTTGGGGTAATAACGACCCTTACCTTCACTTGGGGTATGCTTACGACCCTCACTTGGTTATATGCTTGACCCTTACCTTGGGTAATAACGACCCTTACTTTAGGGTATCTTGACCTTACCTTCTTGGGGTAATAACTGACCTTACCTTGGGGTAATAACGACCCTTACCTTCACAGGGAATGTAACGACCCTTACCTTGGGGTAATACTTGACCCTTACCTTGGGGTAATAACGACCCACACCATCACTTGGGGTAATAACACGACCCTTACGCCAGGGTATCTTGACCCTTACCCTTCACTTGGGGTAATAACATTACCTTGGGGTAATAACGTACTTACCTTCATAGGGTATACTTGACCTGTACCTTCACTTGGGGTAATAACGACCCTTACCTTGGGGTAATAACGACCCTTACCTTCCTAGGTGTATTAGACCTGTACCTTCGGGTTACCTTACTTGGGGTAATAACAGACCTGTACCTTCACTTGGGGTATGCTTGACCTGTACCTTCACTTGGGGTGTACTTGACCCTTACTTGGGGTAATAACGATATTACCTTCACTTGGGGAGTATCTTGACCTATACCTTCACTTGGGGTATCTTGACCCTTACCTTGGGTTAATACTGACCCTCACTCAGGGGTAATAACGACCCTCACTCAGGGGTATGCTTGACCCTCACTTAGAGTGTCTTGACCCTCACTTGGGGATTAATAACACGACCCTCATTGGGGTAATAACTTGACCCTCCTTGGGGATACTCTACACACGCACCAGGGATAACTCTCATAAAATTCCGGCCAGAATTCATTAAATGCTGTTGGAAAGTTAACAAGTGTTTTGTTACTGGGTAAATTTTTGATAATACCGAGGGTGGAATCCTCTGTGTGTGTGTGTGTGTGTGTGTTGTGTTCGTTAGATGGGTTTTACGTCTAGCTGACATTCGATATAATGGATTTTCTTCAATATAGTCCCTTAAATAGGGTTTCACACTGTATCCTGTCAGGACACACACGGCCTCTCTCTGCATCAAGTTTTTCTCGTCGTGTGTGAGCGAAGACTCCACAGTCTGTCTTAAAGAATGGTGATTTGGTTTTATGTTCCTCTTGACTGATGGGCCAGAACGTCATGATGGTATAGCCTCATGTTGAGCCTTGTTACGGTGGAGGTTAAGAAAGGAATGTTTGAGACTCAAAATATAACTCTTTACCGTAGCGTGGTGGTCAGCATCTATCACCGTGTCTTAAGTAATTTGACAATTCATCTTAGTCAGTAAACATGGGCGAAACATTACGAAACGATTGTAAGTCTCAAGTTAAAAGGAGAAACAAACTGATTAATCATACTTTTGGAGAATCCGCGTCTGGTTGTTGTGGTGTGAGGTTGCAGGAGTGATGAGTATAGTGTGACACTTACACCTCCCTGGTGTAAGGGGTGTTGTGTTATGTTGTTGTGTTGTGCTGTCCGCCAACACCTGACCCAGTGTTGTCATACCTGGGGGCTGGGGGGTATTATTTACTAAGTAACTCTTTGACAGCGTCTCGTGTCTCTTAAGTGTTAAAGGCGTGTGTGCGTGCCTCATAAAATATCGTTCCCCAAAACAGCAGTAGGTAAACAGGCTAAATTAATATTCATAAATGACTAAAGAAATACCTACATAGACATAACCAACTTTAAATTAATTAAAAACACAGAATGAATGACTGAATAATACAAAAATTAATAACACAATCAAAACAATGAAAATAGAAATACTGCAAAATAAGATCTTATACAGAAGATAAATGTTGTGTTGTATGGAATGAGACCAGGCTGGTGCAGTGGTGAATATTGATATACAGCTACAACCAATATTCCTTGGACACTACCTGGCATATATCTGTCTGCCTGTGTGATTGGTTTATATGTTGCGGTGTTATGTAAATCCAAGTACCCTGACCTTACGTGACCGCCACTACTTGTTGTCAAAGGCTATTCAGGGATTTTGTCTATAAGTGACAGAAAATAAGATAAATAGAATGATAAAGTGATCTTCAAAAAACATATTTAAAATGTTCATTAGATATCGTTTGCTGGGGCATATTTTGGACAGATATTTAATATCATAGAGGGGTGGGAGGAGACAGTGTGTGACGTGCCATCATTATTATTAGATAATTATTTTCTGATATTTCGGTACAGAGAATCGCGCGACAATATTTTTAGGGTTAATATTTTTTCTCAGTCATCAACCAGTCAGTCACT